TCATTGGCAACTCTTTTTACATCTTCTTCCACCTCCCTCAACAAACGCAGTGACTCTTCACTCATAAGAAGCTAGGAGAAAGACATGGTCTTCCATTTTTTCTTGAGCTGCTAATTTTCGGGCTGTACTTCATTTACCTCCAGATTTTCAACCTGTTTCGAATGCTGCTGCAGAGGATATTTAAGCACTAGCTACAAAGGACTAGTACCTGGATTTTTATAGAGCTCCAGTTCTGCTTTTAAATGTTCAACATTCTTATTAAGTAATTTTATTTCTGTCCACAATTCTTCATTTGTAGAGGTCAGGCTGAGGTAATTTGGTACTAAATTAGGTGAAGGTAAAAGTGAAGTTAGCGAACGAATTGGTTGCTCAGAATTTGGTTGCTCAAAATTTATTAGGTCAAAGTTATGTATTGTTATTGAGGGTTCAAGATGGCTAGAACTAATAGTGTCAGAATTGAATGGCCATATTCCCGTTGTCTTGAAAGCATTACATATAGCAGTGGGGGTGTATGCTTTAAAATAAGCTCACTCAAAGAGTTTAGCGAACGTATATTTTGTCACCAGCTTGCTGTCAATAGTACGAAACTTATCACATTCACTGTCATATGCTTGTTTGAGTTGAGCAAATGGTAGTTCAGCAGGTTGTAGGATATGAGTAGTATGTAGTGGAAGAGCATAGAGAAGAATATTATTTTCATAACAGAAGTTGACATAAGTATAATTGACGTGGCTCTTGTGCCTGTCAAGAATTAGTAAAACAGAGCAGATAGAAGGAATAGAATTAACAAAATGTTCTATATATTTTTTAAATAGGCTCTCTCGCATATACCCTGTATCAGTAAACCCTATAACAGTACCCGCAGGTACGCCATCTAAAAGACCTGGAATCACTCGTATACCCTTGTATATGATTAATAGTAGTATATATGTTCCAGCAGCTGAAATAGTGGGGCATACAGAGATATGTTCATGATTGCTGCCATATGAAACTCGATGAACCTGATGTGTTCTCTTTTTTGCAATGACTTTTTAATGTCTAGGTTCAATAACGAAACCTGTTTTATGTGATTCAG